GACAAAGTTGAGGAAATGGATTAAAGGAACAGGTACCACAAAGAAAGTGGGTTTGGGGGCATAAAGGTGCAAGTATTTTGAGAGCAATAAAAGACAGGACGCTATGGAGAACAATGATTACTTCATGACCTGAAGACATGGTACAGAGGAAAAAAAGATTTTGGGGATGTGTGATATGCAGGGGAGGTAACTATTCGTTGTCTTGTTTATCCTTTATTAATCTTTCCTGTCAAGTTAGTATTTTATACTGGACAAAAACCATCATGCTATCATTTCATTCATCTTGACTCATATTAAATTATCACTAATGTAATTTATTTCATTACTTCCAGAATGATGAAATAGAAAAGTCAGCATTTACATTTGATAAGTTTTATGAACTTTACCACAAAATATGTCCACGTACAGACATTGAAGATCTTTTTAAGGAACTGTGAGTATATTTAAGAATTTCTGTCTATGAGAGTTGACTTTGTGGTTGAAATAATTCTATATTTCTTTCTTGTACCTTTAGTTGATGTTGACCTCAGATAAAAGTCAGGATTTCTACTGATTTAATTTTAAGGCAAACACACTTTCTGCTCCCTAAGCAATCAATAAATGTTTGAATTTGTAAAATCTACAATACCAAATGTATGTAAATATAGAGTAAGTCTGTTTGTATCTCTTTTTCAATAATTTTCTATATATTCAATTATTTACACACACATACACACACACACATATAAATGTTTTTATCTATGCCAGTTTGTTCATATTTATCTATTCATCTTAGTCTCTTATGTCTATCTCTCTTGACCAATCTCAATTTTATTTTTATTTATCTATATATCTATCTCACTTTCTTTTTACAATCTTGGTCACTTCCTATTTGTGTGTATGCATTTGTAAAAAGAATGAATTACAAAATGTGTTTTTAAATGAATTTAAATCAAAATGATACTTTGGGATCTGAATTTTCTAACTTTTTATATATATATATATATATATATATATATATATATATATATATATATATATATATCAATGTTTTCTTTTTCAGAACCGGTAATAAAAATACCTTAACAGTGAATCAGTTGATAGAATTTTTTAATGAGGTAAGTTCGTTAACTGTTACTATAGTAGCCTAATTGATTTTATGATTTAATTTTTTTTTATATATAAATATATTATATACTGTTATATTTGCCAAAATTCAGTTTCATTGTAACTGCTTAAATTTATATAAAACATAAAAACATTTGTACACTTGTCTAAAAAAAAAGATACATAAATTAATTGAATGAAATTTAGTTTCTATGGAATATCAGCAGTGGATATATTATTTAAAAACAACAATTAATATTATTTTGATTTTAAATTTCGTTTGGACAATTGCACCTCTTACTGGATATTTTCAATAGTGATTTGACCAATTCATTAAAAAGAAGAGACTTTTTTTTTTTTTTTTTTCAAGAGGAAAAATGCTGTTGAAAATTCTTTGGCTCTATTTCACTATCCTTCTGACATAATGTTTTCTGTAGCTATACATAGTAGCATTTTTTTTCTGTCTTCAAAAGAAGTAAGGATGCCGCATAATTGTGATTGTGAAGGATGTTACTAATTTCCTTTTTTTAACTTCCATAGATTACTGTACCAAGTTTTTAAAGCAATATGCTAATGCTTTCTAAATACAGAAGGGATAGTTGGACTTAAAGTTTAGCTCTCATCGCATATGAGTTAGATTTCTTATACACTAGCATCCTGGTTAAGATGATAAACTACATCCACGTCCTGGTTAAGATGATAAACTACATCCAACAGCAAGGCCTCTGATAATACATTTTTGGAAAAATAATATTACTAGCTATACGTTTTTGGAAAAATAATAATACCAGCTATACATTTTTGGGGAGAAAAATATTAACAGAAATAGATTTTTGACAAAACAAAAATATTACCAGAAAAAAAAAAGTTGTCTGCATTAAATGACCCATTGAGGTTGCTATGCCGTAAAAAAAAAAAAAAATCTTATACACTAGGTTTGGTTTGGTTTACTTTGGTTTTGTTTTATGGCATATCAACCTCAATGGTTTATATAATACCAACAAGATTTTTATTGCTGGTAATATTTTTTCCAAAAATGTATTGCTGGTAATACCTTTTCCTCAAAAATTCATTACTGGTAATATTTTTTTTCCTCAAAAATTCATTACTGGTAATACTTTTTTTCCTCAAAAATGTATTGCTGGTAATATTTTTTTTCCTCAAAAATGTATTGCTGGTAACATTTATTTTCCTCAAAATTTATTGCTGGTAATAATAATGTATTGCTGGTAATAATTTTTCCTTCAAAAAATTTATTGCTGGTATTAAAACCTATTTTTACACTTTCATTGTGTTTTGACTCCAGTTTAGGAGTTAACTATTTGTCCATAGATGGGACTCTAACAGGTGCTACCACTCTGGGTCAGGGTGGACCTGGGAACACCAGCAATTAAGAGGGGGTTCCATGCTCCTCAAAACCTCCTGATCAGAGGCCTTGCTGTTGGATGTAGTTTATTGTCTTTACCCAGGATGTGTATATGTTAGGGTTATATCCTCCTTTTATATGGGATATGAGGGTGGTATAATAGATAGCACTTCAGAATGAAAAATCAGAGAGCTGATGTTGATTTCTGGTTGAGTTTATTACATTCACTTACATACAAATATCCTTGGGGAAGGCATGAATCCATTAAATAGTAAGACTTATATCTGAAAAAAAAAATCATTGTTATCACTAAAAAGTGTTAATGTAGTATTCACTTGCAAAATAAAAGAATTATTCTTAACAATCCCCCAAAAAATATCATTCGACTTTGAATAACCTACAAAGGGTTGATAAACAGTAAAAAACAAATCAATCAGTTAATCCTTTTATATGAGTAGCCAGGATATCCAAAAAAGGAAGTTTATTTTTATGTTCCTTCTCTACTGCAAACTGTATGAAAGGTTTAACTAGGTTCCTTTGATCTTTTTGTGGGCTGGTGTATACGTGGAGAGATAAACATGTGTGTCTCCTGAAATGCCCACAACAAACATGGCAGACTTGGAGTATGAGTCTACCTAAAATAAAATGTAAAGAAACAACAAGAAGCGATATATATGTACAAAGATAATGTATTAACAACAACAAAGGGTTACAAGTGACAAAGATATTGTGTGTGACAAATGAATGTGGAAACTTTTTGGTCCAAAGTATGTGTAGTGAGTGAATGTGTGTGTGTATGTATGTACGTATTGTTCATGCGTCTTCCAAAAGTGAATGCTGTCTTCCACAAGAGATCTACATGTTGTTGTATAAGCAAGAAAATAAGAAGATGCTGCAAATAACTATTGCAGAGTATTTATAGTGCTGGAGAACGTCCCCTAGGAGCAGTTTCGAAAATTAGGAGGAGGTAATCCGATAATACATTAGCAAGAAAGGTATACATTTTAATTATTTTTTTTTAAGCAAGGGAGATAATTCACCAATAGTTATAGTGGTGGATATGACAATCTCAGGATAATGGCTGAATGATGGATGAGCCAAAACATTGTGTTGACAACAACGACAATGCAAAGAAGTGAATGAATTGTCCAAACAAAATTTATAATGTTAAGATTCCAAAATTTGCTTGAAGATGAAACAGAACTAATGCTTTTAATTTAATCATATAATTAAATTTGAAGTTTTTAGCTTCGTTTTTTGAAACATGGTAATTTCTGTGTAGCAAGAAACCATATTTTAAATCAGTTAATTTATAATATTTATGCTCTGTAAATTTACATTGAGCACTGTTTTGTTAAAAATAAAAAAAATAAAAATATCTATAAGAACACCTGATTATATATCTTACTGTTTTTTTATTATAATATATATATATATATATATATATATATATATATATATATATATATATATATAATGTTTTGACTGTTCTCAAGCTTACAGACAATAGATATTTTTCATTTGTAGTTCTGTTTCATTACTTTTACTTTTTGTGTCTTTAGCGGCACAGCTTAGAAGATCCACTTAAATTACATGATTTACTTATGAATTTGTAAACACAATTTTGCTTACTTATCCTTTCAGCTTTACAGTCTCTGCCTCTCACATTCCCATTCAAAACACATGCACTTACAAAGGGGGGGGGTAATGAAAAGTTATAAGCAACACCTGCTTCCTCAAAATCTGATCAAATGATCCGATATCACATTTATTGAAGGTTTTCTTGGCTGAATGAAGAACCTTTCAAGACTCCTTCATACATTAAAAAGTGAAAGATATTAAGAAATATTTTAGAATATCATTGAATTATTATCATATAGAAATGAACTAGTCTTGTCTCGTTACTTATATTCACAATGTTTCAGCTGTTGTACCTTCTGGCCTTCTTCAGGTGTCTATTGTATTTGATAGCATTAGGGAATACTCAGTTCTGATAACTTCTTCATTTGGCTTTGCCTGAACACAATATGGGAGATTTTTGATCAGGAAAGAAGATGAATAAAGTTTAAGGTTCCAATATTACACCTGACCTTGAAGGTACAATAGTTGAAATGTAAGTATAGCAACTAAGATTAGGATATCACTTCAAATAAATCAGTGTATCATAGTGTTAATTCCTTATTTCATAAATTATAAGTAATGATATTAATAATAATAATAATAATAGGTGACTATCATTTCAGCATTTAAAAATTAATATCCAAATTTTACCTTGGCAATAAAGCTAAAATATATTGTCACCTTTTAAGCTTTAAGTTGTTAATATTGCAAATACTGTAATTTTTCAATTGTACTCATTAATTTTTGCACCATTAGAGTATTTGGAAGCTTTCATTGGAGATCAAGTGACAGTAATTCTTCTCCATCCATCAGCACTTTCCTCAGTATTTGAGATGATTTTTACTAATGTTGACATATGGATGATTTCAACGTTGGATTTCTTCTAATTTTTCCAATCTCTTTGTAAATCTGTTTCTATTGCATCAGTAATTTTGAGTACAGTTATCACCATCATCTTCTACAATTTTTTTATGTTTTCTTGTGAGTTTAAGATATTTTCCATGCTTTAAATTCTCTTTCAATTTTGTTCTTTGATCTGCTGGAATCATGACATCTTTAATTTAACAAGTTCACTTCTTTCTTACAAGCTAAAGGTCTGTTCTTCTAGCCTGAATTGGAAGCTCTGTTTGAATTTCATTGTTGTTACTATTATTATTATTATTACTATTATATATCAACATTTCAGTTGTATGTGGTAAATATTGTTGACAACATTACAAGGTAAATGTCATTATGGGATTATAATAAGAAAACTGTTATATCGGATTAAAGTGTTGCTGCCAACACTTGAGTTTGAACATAGATCTCCATTGAGCAAACACAGGTGATCCCATTATTGAATTAACCACATGACCATGGGAGAAACGGATAAGTAGAAAGTAGTGTGACATCTAAACAATCCTTATTTCTATTCTATACTCTATACTATATAGATCATTTCTAGTATATCCTCTATTACTATTCGGACCACTATTCTATTCACTATACTATTTCTCTATACGGATTACTATTTGAGCGAGTATTATCAAGCAAGTACTATTAGTGCAAATGTTATTTGAAGGCGTCTGACACCAGTATTGTTCAATGGCATTTGTATCTGTGATTACAAAGTCTCTACTACAAAAAGCATTTATGAAAGTGACAAGTATTTGTTGACATTACAAAAAATTAATTATAGTTAGATTAATAATAATATTAATTCTTAATCTGACTTGTAACTGAGATATTTATTTCCAACTGTTCTCAGGGATCAGTGTTCAAATCCAATAAAAAGATTTGAAATGTTGATTTTCTTTTTTTTTCTACCCCCCTTTTAGATGTTGTTGTACAATCTTTTTACCTCTTTTCTGCCACATTTAGTATTGTAACATATTAAATGTTTTTTCGTAAATATTTTTACATTGACGCTTGTTCTGTAGAGAGAATTGTGGTTTTATCAATGCATAGATACATTCCAAGTGAATTCTTCAATTTGGTCTTTGCATATCTCAACACATGAGTTTCTAGACTAGAAGACATGTCTTCCTTTATGACCTCCACACTTTTTTTTTTTGCTGACCATGCACTTTTTAGCTGTAAAATACATATGCCCTTTGTTCATCCCAGTGCTGCACAAGGCTTTTCATGTGTGTGCACGGGCACATGCCATCAAACCAACAATTTGCTGTTTTTTCGCAACAAACCATTGGCACTTTTGCAACAACTGCAAGTTCACACAGTAATAATGTACCTATTTCCCTTTACCCAGTACAGCCTCCTTCTTCATGGTGGTCAAAGGTGACCAGATGTTCAGAATTGCAAATGTGGAACTTTGCAGCATCGGTTATTGTCAGGGTTGGCACTAATTGAAGACAGAAGAATTGCAGTGTTCCCCTCTTTTTATTTTGTTTGTAAAAAGCAAAAGTGTTAGAAGGAAAGAATGACACACGTCTTGTTTCTTTGGAGATTTTTGGATTTCATTGAAAGTATGGAATTTGAAAGTGAGTTTAACCTGCACTGTTCATTTACATATAGAGTTTCAAGCACTGATTAAAATGTTTTACAATTTCAATCAGAAATATTAGAATTTCTGTATCATTAGTATTCTCGCATTGTTTTTTGTTTTTTTTTTATTAGACATTTTTTTTCTAAGATTAAACCAATTTTTAAAATGCTTTGTTTTATATATTAAACATTATATTGTCAATTTTGGCTACTTTCTAATAATTATCATACTGTGAATGACACCTATTCTTTGCTTTTTTTTTTCTTCTTTTTTTCTTTTTTCTTTTTTTCTTTTGCTTTTTTTCTTTTTCTTTTTTTTTTCTTTTTTTTTTTTTTTTTCTTTTTTTTCTTTTTTTTTTTTCTTTTCTTTTCCTTTTCTTTTTTTTCCTTTTCTTTTTTTCCTTTCTTTTTCTTTTCCTTTTGTTTTTCTTTGAGTTTTTCTTTTTCCTTTCTCTTTTCTTTTCCTTTCTCTTTTCTTTTTTTTCTTTCTTTTCCTTTTTCTCTTTTCTTTTCCTTTCTCTTTTCTTTTCCTTTCTCTTTTCTTTTCCTTTTCTAATTTTTCTTTTCCTTTCTTTTCTTTTCCTTTCTCTTTTCTTTTCCTTTTCTTTTCTTTTCCTTTTCTTTTCTTTTCCTTTCTCTTTTCTTTTCCTTTCTCTTTTCTTTTCCTTTTCTTTTCTTTTCCTTTCTTTTTTCTTTTCCTTTCTCTTTCAATTTTATTCCTTTCTCTTTCTTTTTTCCTTTCTTTTCAAAATTTCTTTTCTTTTCTTTCTCTTTTCTTTTCCTTTCTCTTTTCTTTTCCTTTCTAACTTCTTTTTTTTTCTCTTTTCTTTCCTTTCTCTTTCTTTTCCTTTCTCTTTTCTTTTTTCTTTTCTCTTTTTCTTTTCCTTTCTCTTTTCTTTTCCTTTCTCTTTTCTTTCCCTTTCTCTTTTCTTTCCTTTCTCTTTTTCTTTTCCTTTCTCTTTTCTTTTCCTTCTCTTTCTTTTCCTTTCTCTTTTCCCTTTTCTTTTTCTTTTCCTTTTCTTCGATTTTTCCTGGCATTTTTTTTCTTTCTCTTTTCTTTTCCTTTCTCTTTTCTTTTCCTTTCTCTTTTCTTTCCTTTCTTTTCTTTTCCTTTCTCTTTCTTTTCTTTTCTTTTCTTTTCCTTTCTCTTTTCTTTTCCTTTCTCTTTTCTTTTCCTTTCTCTTTTCTTTTCCTTTCTCTTTTCTTTTCCTTTCTCTTTTCTTTTCCTTTCTCTTTTCTTTTCCTTTCTCTTTTCTTTTCCTTTCTCTTTTCTTTTCCTTTCTCTTTTCTTTTCCTTTCTCTTTTCTTTTTTCTCTTTTCTCTTTTCTTTTCTCTTTTCTCTTTTCTTTTCTCTTTTCTCTTTTCCCCTTTTCTCTTTTCTTTTTTTTTTTTCTTTTTTCTTTTCCTTTCTCTTTTCTTTTCCTTTTCTTTTTTCTCCTTTTTCTTTTCTTTTCCTTTCTCTTTTTTTTCCTTTTCTTTTCTTTTCCTTTCTCTTTTTTTTCTTTTTCTTTTTTCTTTTCCTTTCTTTCTTTTCCTTTCTTTTCTTTTTTTTCTCTTTTTCTTTCCTTTTTCTTTTCTTTCCTTTTCTCTTTTTTTTCTCTTTTTCTTTTTTTTCTCTTTTCTCTCTTTTCTCTTTTTTCTTTTCTTTTCTCTTTTCTCTTTTTTCTTTTTTCTCTTTTTTTTCTTTTTCTTTTCTTTTTTTTTTCTCTTTTTCTCTTTTTTTTTCTTTTCTTTTTCTTTTCTCTCTTTTTTTCTCTTTTTCTTTCTCTTTTTTCTTTTCTCTTTCTCTTTTCTTTTTTTTTTTTCTTTTTCTTTCTTTTTCTTTTTCTCTTTTTCTTTCTCTTTTCTTTTCTTTTTTTCTCTTTTCTTTTTCTCTTTTTTTCTTTTTTTCTCTTTTTCTTTTTTTTTCTCCTTTTTCTTTTTCTTTTTCTCTTTTTCTTTTTTTCTCCTTTTCTTTTCTTTTCTTTTCTTTTCACTTATTCCATGTACCATATTTGATGGCTGATAAGATGCACTCCCCCAATTTAAATTTGGTATTAGAGTATTACAGAGACACAAGTGCTGGTAGTTTATTGTGTGAGGGTAAGAATTAGCTTATCTGATATCTCAGCTTTACATGTAATAAAACTCCTCTTATTTACAATATTATTATTATACACACAAGTGTTGATAATCTGCAGTATCTGGTTAAAAATAACACCATCAGATACTTCAACTTTGTGTCTAAAACTTTGGAGATATATTTGTGCCATTTTTGGGTGAAATTGTAGGGCTGTATATGGTATATTTTCTTGAATATAAAATTTGTCATATGATGTGAAATTTGGCACTGCATATATTTCATACTTTCAGTCATAAAATAACTTACACAGTTCAAAGGTTTTAGAATTTTTGGCAACCTACAGCATGTGTGCCTCATATGGCATGCCAAGCAATTTCTAATGGCATGCAGCTGCAAGTGACATCATGAAGTCAAACCAATAACTACTACAAGGCAAAGAAGATATTTAGCTGTTTCAATTTTAATATATACTGAAATATATATATATATATATATATATATATATATATATATAATAATTTTTTTTTCTTAATTAATCCCCTTCCACCCATCTCTCCTAAAATTCTCTCTGTTAAGGTTTAATCTCCCTCCTCTTCATACTTACACTCTCTCTAAATTCTGTTTTTATTTCTGGAGTGGGTTTTTTTCTGTTTTCTTTTTGAATTTGTAGGTCTGATGAATTGGATCGTATTTTCGATTCCAATGGAATAGATTATGACCATGGAATATTAGTGTTTAAGTCTTTTTATTATATCCTTACTCTGTCCTAGACATTGAGTTTTACCTGGATTCTTCCTCTTGGAATTTTTTTTCTAAATGTATGGGTATTTATATATTTTGCATATGTATGTATATTTTCCACTAATATTATCTATATATATATATATATATATATATATATATATATATATATTACTATATAAAATATATTGTAGAACAGGTATATTGACCTTGACTTGTATAAAAATATGTATGCTGTTGGCAAAATGAATGATTTTAAAACACTTAGTCATCACATAGCAAAAGGTTGCCAGCCCCTGCTTTATAAGATAAACTTGGTAAACTTTACTCCATGGTGAAGTACCCATATTGATATTCATTAAGTTTAGTTTCATTTGACACAAAGCTATAAGTATGAGGCACTTAGTAAGTTTGATAACCTCCATATGAGTAGCCTATTATAGATTGTTAGCATTGATTTATTTTTCAGTCTGGTACATGAATATAAAACTAATAAATAAACAGAGCATCTATTCAAATATGGGTATCCACTAAAAATAATGTTTCAGTAATAAAATATATCAGATTAATAAATGAAACATCCATTACTTCTTTAGAAATTGCTTTGTTTCCATTAGGATATGAAATTGAGCAGAGATGTATATTTCGAGAATCAAGGAAAAATCCTTTGCTTGGCCATCTGGTTCTCTGTAGCTGAGAGGTCAAAGCACTTCGAATCTAATGACAGTTTCCTCTAGGAGAATGCAAGTTTGAATCCTGCTGGAGAACGCATATTTTTGTAATAAGATTTCTTGAATATTCAGGCCAGTAGATGAAAATATAAATAAATATACTGTTTAATAAATAAACAGAGCATCTAATCAAATATAGGTATCCACTAATGTTTAAGTAATAAAATCTATCGGATTAAAAAATTGGTTTTTTCATGTCACATATATATCAAACGTTTTGGGAATTTTGTTATGGAGAATTACTTAACACCTTACCCCTTATTTTTATTAGTTCCTTTGACATATTAGTTTGAGTGTAATAGTAGACACTTATATGTTAGTGTACTTATCACAAATGGTAACTGCAAAAATCTGTATGATATTGAGTTTTTGTCCATTTCTCATCTTTCTTGAAATTTTAGGTGGCACCTTGAATTTGATGACATGATTCTTTATTTACTGCTTTTATTTTTAGCAATATAAAGTGTGTTCCAATAACTTAGACCAATTTTAAATGTGAATTAAGTTTAAGCGTCTAATGATTTTTTCTTTTTTTGTCAGATTTAACAACTTAAGTCTTTGGCAATTTCAACCATGGAAAGATTAACAATCAAACGTGTTAAAGTTTCAAGAGTGTAATTGGAAAAATTGTTCATAAATTCAAACAATCTGGGTCGGTAGCAGATGTGAAAACACCATTGCATACTCATTTATGCTGTTCAGCTGAAAACATTGCTGCAATGCACGAGAATGTGGCCGAAAATCCAGACACGTCTAATCATCATCGTGTGCAGGAATTGAACCTCTCCACAGCAATGTTGCATTGAATTTTGACAAAAGATTTGTCTCTACACGCTTACAAATTCAAGTGACACAAGAACTGAAATCTCCTGACCATTTGGAACGCCATACATTTGTCAATTTGGTACACGAGCAAAGACAAGCCGATGAAGTTTTTTCACAAAAAAATCCTCTTTAGTGATAAAGCTCATTTTCATCTTGGTGGATTTGTTAATAAGCAGAATTGTCGCATTTGGGCTGATGAAAATCCAAGGAAGATAGTTGAAAAGTCACTGCATCCACAAAAGGTCACTGTTTGGTGTGCATTTTTTGCTAGCGGAATCATTGGGCCTTATATTTATAAAGTTGAATGTCCATTTTTATAATAGGCTTCGATAACTTTAACATGTTGTTTGACTGGCAATTTCAACTATGGAAAGATTAACAAAGACTCAAGTTGTTAAATCTGACAAAAAAAAAAAAGAAAAAATCATTAGACGCTTAAACTTAATTCACATTTAAAATTTGTCGAAGTTTATTGGAACACTCTTTATTTGTCTTCTAATTTTTATCCGTTTTATTTTGTAACAAGTTGTGCATTTTTTTCATCTTTACAGAGACAAAGGGACCCAAGACTTAATGAGATACTTTTTCCTTTTTATGATCGCAATAGAGTTCTTTTGATCATTGCCCAGTATGAAGAAAGTGAGGAACTGAAGAAACAAGGTAAAAGAATTGGTACTTCTCACCAAAATTCATTCCTATTTTTTTTAAATAATTAGTTTGTTAATGATTTATTTATTTTTTGTATTATTTTATGCATTTCTATTTTAAAATTTTTACTTCCTTAAACATTTTACATTATTTGCTTTTTATTTTTACTTATTATTATTGCTTTTGCAGAATTTATTCATCCTTAATTTTTGTTATCTGTCTATATCTCTGAGATGAGGTATTATGATTACTTTCATTATTTACATTATTCAGACTGTTATCCTCATCCTCATTGCTATATTCACAACATTTCCTCTGTTTTATGCTTTCTTCAGGTGATTGGAATTTTGAACCAAGCTCTTTATTTCCTCTACTGGGGTAGATTGTTCTAGTTCCACGAGCCATACCTCTTCCGGATATTTCAGTTATTTCAAGTTTGGTTCACCACTGCTGTGGCCTGGTATTGAACTCACAACTCTTTGGGTTTAGTCACTGGATCTAACCAACGTCTTTATCCACTGGGCTATGTATGTTTGAGGATGAAATAAAGGGTTCAGTTTGAAATTCCAATCAACTGAAGAGAGTCAGAGAATACAATGGCTGAAATGTTGTGAATATGGATAACAGTCTAAATAATGTTAATTTTTGTTTTCTTTCAAAGTTGATTGCATTCATTTTATTTTTATTGTCATTATAGCATTTCAGCCAATTTATTTTCTTGCTTTCTTTATATTCACGAGCTGTATGAAAGAAATAGGGGAATCATATTCTGGTTTACACTATTGCCAAATTGCACTGAAAACACTGTTCTTGACGATCTTCAAAATTAAAAAGTGTCCAGCCCTGTCAGTATTTAGGTCGGGGACTGCTTCGGAACACTGGACACTGAAAGCAACCTCCTACAATTTGAAATATGTCTCAGCTTTAAATAACCCAGAAAGGGTTTATAAGCTATAAAAAATTACACTACCAAAAAACCGACATGACTATTATTGTTGTTGTTTTTTATAGACAGAGGAAGCTGCTTCTTGAGATTATTTTGTGATAAGGTCTTTCACATAACATTAAACATAGGATATAAAAATTGGGGCAATTTACATTCATTGTTATAAGTAAATTTACATCATTAAAATTAACCTTAAATTTATTGACTTGAAATTATTTTTTTTTCAAATTATTTTTAATTAATTTTAAATAAAATATTTGAGACTGAATGATTTTGATATTATCCACTGGATAAAGATGTTCAGATCCAATGACTAGACTCAGTGTTGTGAGTTCAGTACCAGATCACAGCAGAGGTGAACCAAACTTGGAAAGTTGAGTTAAAGGCAAATAACTGAAACATCTGGAAGAGACATGGCATGTGGAACTAGGACAGTGGCCTTTATCTGTAATTTAATTTTCTTTTTTATCACCTTCTTTTAAAAATTAAAAAAAAATAATTCTATCTCTTTGACAATTGTTGTTATTTATTCTCTTGTATTGTTAACATGTTTGGCTAATTCAATCTAGAGCAGTTTTCAGGTGTATAAGATGTATTCTGATAATATTTCAAATTTTGTAAAGAATTCTTAAATACTTCATCATTCAAAAAGAAAAAAAAAATTCATTTTGCTCTTTGCAGATTGCTTAAGTGTTGATGGGTTCTGCCGTTACTTGATGTCAGATGACAATGCTCCTGTCTTCCTTGACCGGTTAGACATTTATCAAGACATGGAGCAGCCCCTTGCTCACTATTACATCAATTCATCACATAACACATACCTCACAGGCCGACAGTTTGGAGGCAAATCATCTGTGGAAATGTATAGACAAGTACTTTTAGCAGGTTGTCGGTGAGTCATTATTTTCTTTTATTCTCCTCTCTGTGATTCATTCATGCTTGCAATGTTGACATAGTACCTTCCTGTTGCTGTAGTAGACATTTAAAATTTTGGGCCTGAGAAGATGAAGCAATGTCCAGAATAAACAAGAGATTCATCAATTTAAGTAAATTTTTTGTTAATCTTATAAATAAAAGTGAAATATAACTGATGCTGATTACATATACACACTATATTTAATAGTATTTTGGATGTATATATTGGTATATCACTAAGTCTCTAGGTTAATTATAAAAAAAAAAAAAACTTTATTTTAAACAAATATTTTTAACATCATATCTTTCAGTTTTTGTAAGGTGCTCTATTCACATGTGACCAACGGACACACAATCTCATAAGCCCTGCCACCAATCAAAAGGAAGACAATTATTGTCTCCCTACATAAATATCAGTACATTCAGAAAATTTTATAAACATTGTTTGCTTAATACCATTTTTATTGTGAATTGACTTGTATAATAAAATCTGTATATCAGAAGAATAAGTTGACATTATGTGATTGTAAACAGCTAAGAGAACTTCATATTGTAAGCAGTTTAGAAAATAATTCTAGTTTGATTATATTTTTCATGTTACTGTCTCGTGATTTGCAGGTGTGTTGAACTGGACTGCTGGGATGGACGTAATGAAGATCAAGAACCCATAATCACACATGGCAAAGCTATGTGCACAGATATTCTTTTTAAAGTAAGTTGATCTTGCAATAATGTTTCGTCTTTTCTACTTTGATCCTAAAAGATGCATCTTTTTTATCTCAAAATATGTGTGGAAAGCAGGATAGTAGAAGTTACATTTTTTTTCTGTATCTGTCTATATTTCTGAGATGAAGTATTATGTACATTATTTACATTATTCGGACTATTGCCCTCATCTTTGTCGCCATATTTATTACGTTTCGGCCATCCAGTATCTGTCTATATTTCCGAGATGAGGTATTATGTACATTATTTACATTATTCAGACTATTGTCCTCATCTTTGTCACCATATTTATTACAATGTTTCGGCCGTTGTACGCTCCGGCCTTCTTCATGTGGTTGGAATGTCTAACTTAACCCTTTATTTTGCTCACTGGGGTAGATTGTTCTGGTTCCACGTGCCATGTTTAATGGATGTCAGTTATCAGTTATCTCTTGTTAATTTCTCTCTGAAAGTTCTCCACTTGCCTTAACCAGGTATTGAACTCACACTCTTTGGGTCCTGTTAGTGGATCTAACCAACGCCTTTATCCAATGCATTTCTATATGCCTGAGAAAGAAAGGCATATCAGCTGAAACATTTTGGTACACATAACAAAGATGAGGATGTTAGTTCAAAATAACTACTGTAGTGTAATTCCATGTTAGAAATTAAGGCAAGAAAAAAAAAATTTACTTATTTTGTTTTGGGCTCTAATTGGCTTTTAAAGTTTAAATCTGTTGGTGAAACCTTTTCGATGTTATAAAAATATTGTATTAAAATTTGATTGTTGACTATTTTTTTTTTTTTTCAATCTCTTTGTAAGCAGTTTAAGCAACAAATGGTTTTGTTTTCTTTACAGGAAGTCATTTATGCAATCAAAGAAACTGCATTTATCACCTCTGACTATCCAGTCATTCTCTCATTTGAAAACCATTGTAGGTGAGTTTTTGTAGATAGTTTTTATATATACTTAAAGATATATCAGTAGTGGTGAGTTTATTGAATTGTTCAATATAACTTCCCTTATTCGCATGCCTTTTTGTTTTTTTTTTATAAAATACACCTACTGGATGCTATAGTACACATAATCAGTGATGTTTCTAGCTGAGGCTCATTAGAGGTTTCGGGTCTTTCAGCTTCATACCCCCTCTTCACAGTGACCCAGCCGATACTGATCTTGACTTGTGTACCTTCCGTTAGCTACAATTTTTTCCATCTTTCTAATTACACACCATGCGATTCCTCTTGGCAATTTATTGTCTAGTCTCGGATGACTTCTGGTTCACCAGTAATGTGTGCTCTTCCATAAAAAAAAAAAAAGAAGCAAATGCAACCACAATTTCTATCTGATCAGGAATATGGCGGCATGCTTGGCTTGAAGTGATAAGTACCAATTTGATTCCCCTCACTGAGACGTATATATATATACACACACACACACACACACACACACACACAAAGGCGCTCAAGCATCGCATTCTGCTTACACTTATCTCCATTTTCATTCATGTTAATCATCCACCAAAAAAACAGAAAAAAAAAATTTCCTTTTCCTACTTCCCACTTTTTTCTTTTTTCATCCTTAACCCTCCATCTATATGAGTTACACACATGCACACACACACACACACACACACACACACACACACACATCAATGTCACACACATCACCAATGCACACATCTAAAAAAAGAAAAAAAAAAAGAAAAAAACTAAATGCCATAACTCTGGTAGAGGATCAAACAGGGGCTAGATCTTAGCCAGGGATCATCCTTAGGTAAAATAGTTCGGGGTACCCTAATTCTGTCCCCTAGTCGAGACTCCATTGTTGTGTGTAGTTTTAGTATACCTGCAATAATAGATTATTATAAATTACTGTTATTACTATTATTATTAAGTATAATACATAAAAAATATATCTATATACCTAGATATAATTAATATTTGCTGGAATTTGAGCCATTAAAATTTTTGTTTTCTCGTAAAAAAAAATAACTAATTTGTAAAATCCAAATTTTGGCCTAGAAAAATTTTTTGGTTTTAGCTTTCATCTATTTATTAATTATTATTATTGTTATTAATATAATAATAATGATAAACATGGTAAAGTAGCATGGTAATGCTGGTAATATATGCACAATATTTTATTTGTATAGTAATAAAGATGTTGACAGATAAATCTTTGGGCTATTACTTTTCAGACGTCCTTCCTAATTATTTCCAATACTAATTTTTATTTTTATTTTTCATATCTTTTAAAAAAAATTTTGTTTCTTTGAATTTCTTTTTTAATTTATTTGTTCATTTTTATTTATTTTTTTTACCATTTTATCTTCTAGTAAGCCTCAGCAATATAAAATGGCAAGATATTGTGAAGAGATTTTAGGAGATTTATTACTTAAAAGAAAACTTGACAACTTTGAAGTAAGTAATGCTTTTCTTTCATATTTTATTTTCATTCGTCTTCACTATTGTTGCAAAGCTATTTTATCTTTGCAATCTCTTTTTGTTCTTTCTTGCAGGTGTAAGATTGAAAACAAATTTGTCTCACCCACAGGATTATAACTCCGGTAAAAGACAGCCTTGTTTGCTGTCTATTTTCCTGCATAAAATTAACAGTTGAATCTATCTCACCTATTATTGACTTTATTATTTGTACTTGTTGGAATTCTGTCTTGATGGGATCTTAGTTGATGTCAAGTCACTTCCTGTTTATAGAATTCAGGTATAATTAGGTTTGTTAGTTTTGCTAGCAATCAATCTATGAGGAGTAAAATTTGGTCACAAACCTGGACATGGCAATCTACCATGTTGAGAAGTAAACCTCTACTACATGAGAGTATGTAACTCCTGTTTATATCAGTTGTTGAAAGGTTAAAAAATTTTTTTTATTTGGCTGGGGCAGGAGCCTGACACTCTTTTTAAACTTTATTTATAGAATTTGGTTTGGTTTGTTCTACGGCATATCAACCTCAATGGTGGGTTATTTAATGTTAACAAGATTTTTATTGCTGGTAATATTTTTTTCTAAAAATGTAATGCTGGTAATAATTTTTTTCTTCAAAAATTTATTGCTGGTATTAAAACCTATTTTTACATTTTCATAGTGTTTTGACCCCAGTTTGTAGGGGTTAACTATTTGACTATAGTTGGGACTCTAACAGGTGCTATTAGTCCAGGTCAGGGTGGACCTGGTAATGCAAGCAATCAAGAGGTGTTTCCATGCTCCTCAAAACCTCCTGATTGGAGGCTTTGCTTTTGAATGTAGTTTATCGTCTTACCCAGGATGCGGATGTAATTGATTGTCTTACCAAGGACACTTCATTGGGTGGGGGGTGCTTTGCTCTTCTGCAAAGGTGCAGTTAGCATATTCTGAAGCCCCAGCTGACAGGGCAATTATAGAATTTATACAGGGAATTTCTGCAAAGTAAGATACAGATAGGCATAATCCAACCAGGATTAAAACATTGTAAAAACTGTACATGGGGTATGCAACACTTCTTGTAAAAACCAGAACAGCCTTAATATTGATTGCATGTACATGTGACATCACAAGTGACTGCTACCATAAGACTATGAAGAAATACAGAGTTGCAAAAATCCAACTTTTGGTTTTTAAAGCAATTAACTGAAGAAAACAAATTCCAGCACATGGACATTTCTTTTTAGATAATGAGAATTGTATAGAGCTAATGGGGACTTGCTAGAATGAATGATTATGGATGATAAAACTTAGCTACATCACATAATCCCAGAGATAAAGAATAATTTTATGGCCTGAAAGTTCCCATCATCACCAACACCCCAAACATAAAATCACCTTTCAGCAAATAAACAATGTCCACCCCCATGAACATGACTCATGTGATAAAAGCAGCTAAAGTAATATGATTGGTGGGTTGGGATATTTAGGACTTCTTCAAACTATCATTCATTTGCATCCCTCAAAAGATATTTATATGGGAAGCAATTCCATGCAGATGATACTATTTTTTGCATAGTGGCTTGATTCCATTTTCTTTAAGGAGAGTGTCTATGCACTCATACACCAATCTCTGTGGTAACTACATGGTAAAGTAGCATAGTAATGCTGTAATATATTTTATTTGTGTACTAATAAACATGTTGACATATAAATCTTTGGCCATTACATTTCAAACATCCTTACCAATTATTTCCAATACTAATTTTCACAAAGATTATTTTAAAAGTATTATCACTAGGATGCCACTATGGCTGACAGAACAGAGTGCAGACAAATCAAGGATTCTTTCCTCTTATTAAGACAATTCAGAAATTATAATTTGCAGCTAACAGAACTAGAGAAGTCTCCTTTGGATATAGTTTTTGTCAGTTTATGCTTAATTAAAAATTATTTGGAAACCAGTGGCTTGATTTGATTGAAAATGCTTTATACTCAGAGTGAGAGGATTTTAAATTTTATGCTTGTAGTAATTGCATTATGATTTTTTTTTCAGTGTTATCATAAACACTGAAACCAACATACATAAATTGGACCATTATAAATTTTATAAAACACTAATCCTATTCATTTGTTTATTACAAAATCACTTTCATCCTAGGTATGATGATAAACTACATCCGCGTCCTGAGTAAGACGATAAACTACGTCCAACAGTATGGCCTCTGATCAGGAGGTTTTGAGGAGTTTGGAACCACCTGTTAATTGCTGGTGTCCCCAGGTTCACCCTGACCCAGGGTGATAGCACCTGTTAGGGTCTCAGCTATAGGTAAATAGTTAACCCCCAAACTGGGGTCAAAACACTATGAAAGTGTAAAAATAGGTTTTAATACCAGAAATACTTTTTAAAAAAATCACTACCAGCAATACAATTTAAAGAAAAAAAAAATACCAGTAATAAAATTTTTGTCGGAATTAAATACCCCATTGAGGTTGAAACCAAACCAAAAACACTTCAAATAATAAATAACAAATTTGATTTCATAATGACTATGAAAACAGAAAAAATACAAGTTAATATTCAGATAATGCATTGCCCATTATTCATTTTGTACTAGTTTTTCTTTTATTGTTGGTGTCTCTGTTTTAGTTCCAATTCAAGTTGCCTGCTTAGCAGTTATAAAAAATAAAAATGACATGAGATGATGAGAAAAAGAAACAAGAAAAGCATGTTTATAAATTTATAATGGTAATGCTTTCTAAAAAAAAAAAAAAAAACTCCAAACAAAGGAAAAGGTGGGGACAACTTGCAACTATTATATACTAAGATATATATAAAAATATATATATGTAAATAAATAAAAAAATATATAATATATATAAATAAATAAAAAATATATATATAAATAAAAACATTTTATTTATAATTAGAAAGTCATTAAAAAAATTGTGTTCATTTCTATCAAGTATTAAAATATTAAATATTTTTAAATTTCTTGATTAAATGTTTGCATATTTCTTTTCAGTTGGAGCCTGGGGCACCACTACCATCGCCAAAAGATCTAAAAAGAAAGATTCTGATCAAGAACAAAAGACTGAAGCAGGAAGTGGAGAAAAGTAAGCAACATATACTTGTTGTCAGTTGATTTCATTTATTGTATATTAGCCTAGAAGCCAACAAGAAGGAGGCTTATACTTAACATCAGGAGGAGGCAGATAAAGCTTCTGAGACATGTAATGAGGAAGGATTGTTTGGAGAATCTGATATTCACAGGTTGAATAGGGAGAAAGAGAGACAAAGGAAAGCAATGCATGACATACCTGGCAGACTTAAGCAAGTGGATGACAAAATGTGGTCTGGGGGAGGTGACAGAGGGACTGAACTTGTTGAGAGCTGCAAGGGATAGAGGGAAGTGGGGAGCCATGATTGCTTACATCCTGAACGGACATGGCACATAAAAAGATCAAAAGAAACTGCCTTTCAGGCAAACTATAGGCTAACTCCTGCAGAGGGTTTTTGGAGCTTTCTATCTTTTATCTTCAGCATCCTATGTACATAAAAGTTATAAGAATTTAGAAATAATAAAACTATTTTATCTTTATTTGACACCTATAATTTTTGTATACGCAGTCGATATCCATAGTTTGTTTACATTTATTTTGCTCAACATTTTTTATTTTCTTTTAAAATCACCATTCTTTATGATCTCTTCACATAAAGTCACTCTTAATAGACATAGGGAACTTGAACTATGTATTAGGTTGGTGCAAAAATAATGACGTAATAATGTTGTTTTTTGACGTAATGTCAAAAAACGACATTCTTACATCATTATTTTTGCACCAACCTAATAATATTTTGAATGCGTCACACTATATGAGCAACATAGTGTGCCTTGCTTAAGTTTTAATTACGTTTGAATTAGACAATATCAATTGCAATGAAAAGCCTAAATAAAGTTAAGCATTTAATAAAATATTGTTTTAAAGCTTTCACTCTGCTCAATATTTAAATTTAACTTTACATGATTTATTTGTTTAATTTTTTTTAATCGGTTATAACAACAGTAGTTACTACCTGTTACTTCAGGTTTATGATTTGCTGTGATTGAAAAATGGACAGACAGACACACACATACACATGTGCTTTATATATAGATTATTTGTTTCATTTAAAAAAATTTCTCCTTGTTTAAACTATTTTATTTAATTTTCATCATAGTTTCTGGTTTTGTTATTGTTTTAATAATCACTTTCCTGACTAAGCAATAAGCAAATATTTTCTTGACTAAATTTTTTTTAAATCAATGTTATAATTATTAGGTTTCAGGTCAGTCACACTAATTTTCTTCCTCCAAATACTTAAACCACATTCCTATAACAAAAGGGATTTTACAAGTTGAAAATTGTACATTTTAAATCTACAAAAATTATTGAGCTGTGAGTAGAAAAGGAACATCAGAAGAAGCATGTATTCATCAATCTACAATGACAAAGTAACATATGGTTATTTTAGGAGACTGACTACCTACAGATAAAAAGTCCAAGGTTGAATTTTAATTTTACAGTTACTTATCCGCAAACTGACAGGAATTGCAGATGTGTACTATATTAAACCTAGTAAATATTTGTGTGTGTGTATGTGTTAACATGTTCAATGAAATAAAACAGACAGAGAATATTTGTTGACCTCTAATTGCTATATCTCTAGTGGAAACTTGTAAAGATGTTTACCAAGATCAAATATTGTGATGGTTGACACTAGACAAATCTCAACATTTAATTTTGTCATATTCCTTTATAAGCTTCCACCTGAGGTAAAGTGACTAATTCACTCAAAATCAGTAAAAAAGTTTATATATATATATATATATATATATATATAATATAAAAAGGCTTAAACACTAATATTCCATGGTCATAATTTATTCCATTGGAATCGTAAATACGATCCAATTCATCAGACCTACAAATTAAAAAAAGAAAACAGAAAAAAACAACTCGAAATAAAAATAGAATTTAGAGAGTGTAAGTATGAGAGTGTGGGACGAATGTTAGAGCTAAAGAGAGGGGTAACAGACGAGAGAAGGTGGGAGATTAAAACTTAACAGAAGTTTTAGAGAGGTGAGTTGAAGACAGTTTAAGTGAGAGAAATATGAATGTTGCCGGATGTCTAATACATTAAAGATGTAACCGAAAAGGATACATTTTGTGGTGACATTGAGTTCTACCTGGATTCTATCTGCTTTGAATTTTTTATTCAAAAAATATATGTGTATGCATCTATGTATATATATTTTGCATATGTATGTGTATATTTACCACTAATATTATATAAATATAAAAATATATAATATATATATAATATATATATATATATATATATATATATATATATATATATATATATAGGCAGCATGGTGGAGTAATGGATAGCGGCTTGGATTAAGGAATCATGAGAGCGAGTTAATTCCAGTTGAATCCATTACATTCACTTACGTGCTAATACCCTTGGGAAAGGTATGAATCCTCTTCCTCTCCCTCCAGCTATGGGTAAAATAGCAGGACAGACTGAGTTCTATAGCCTTGGATGGCAACTGGTCTAGGAGAAGGACAACTCTGAATTCAAAAACCTCATGGAGGGTCGTTTGGGAACCTTGTGGCATGATTGCACCAGGTCTCTGTATTCGTCCCTTCAAAAAAGTGTGGATAGTCCTGCACGAAGCCTTCACCACTATAATCAAATCTCATGTGCCAGTGTCGGGCTGTCGGTTTCCTGAAACTGATCTGTTTGACCCTCATACGTCGAATCTCGATTATATATATATATATATATATATATATATATATATATATAACTATTAACAAGAAATTGTCTACATATAAAAAGGCTAAAAATAATGGAAGCCTTATTAATAAAAACAAAAAAACAACACTCAATATCAACTATGAACATGCACACAATATATTGACCGTGTTTTGAAAATGAAACATTTATATAAATACATACATACTACAATCTATTTCTTACTAACAGTTAATATATTTCAACCTTAAAAATGTCTAAATGTATAGTCAAAAGTGCTCGGAAAGAATTGGACAGTTTTTATATAATTTATCCTCTGAAAAGAAAAATAATTATTAGATCATATGAGAAATTGTATAAAAAACTAAATCTAAGCACCTTGTCTGTCATATTTAATGAAACCTGCATGAAAGAAGGATTGCTGCCTAAATAAGTTAATTTACTAAGTTTCTAGATATGCAGATATTTGTAGATATTTCCTTGTTTTATATACATACCTATTTGTGGACGTACCACATGGGGGACTTACTGTAGTGCAATTATTAAGATGTAGTTTCATTGTATGATGAGGTGTTTGATCAGCACATAGTACCATCTTTGATAGCATATAAGCCTTCCCCTATTTACATTTAATATTACAATATTTTGGAAACCAGTACTGGCCATCTAAATAAGCATTAAAATCCTAAACACTTTAACTTTGCATATATGAACAAGGGTATATTTTTTTTAGGTATTTTTTTTTAAAAAAAGACCTGGGCTTTATATGCCAACATATATGCAAATATTGTTGTCATGTCTATCTTTCATTCTTTCTTTATTTCCTTCTTTAAAACTGTTAATCTTAAAGTTTTGAGTAAACATTTTTTTCAGTGAGTTGCAATACCCTTGTTGTTTACTTATGTGATTTTTCAGAATGTTTGAGATTAAGTTTGAAATGTTATTCACTTGTGACAAAAACATAGACATTTGTTCTTTATTCTTTGTTCTACACAAAAGATTTCTTAACATCCAAAGGAGAGAAAAACCCATCATTAAAGGGAGATCATTTCTCTACATTCATGTATTTCTATTCTCATAAAAGGAAAACATAGACATCAATGAAAATCCTTTTACTTTGTAGCCCAACTGGAGCTGTTCATGAAGGGCCAGGAACAGGCTATCAATGAAGACAGTGAAGTGGCTGAAGACCCAAACTTAGTCTCTGTGGTGGATGGAGAGGAAGAAACTATAGGTAAATTTAATTCTGTTCTATTTTTTTTTTTTTTTTTGTCCTTATTCTAGACCTGTCCTCACTCATTGCTAGAGATCTAGATGGTGTGGGGCTGCTAACTCCTTTCGGTAAAAAAAATTTACACATTATTAAAACTGTAACAGCATTACTTCTGGCGAGGTTCCTGCTTTATGCTCCTCAGAGACTTTAAGGAATAATCCAAAACCTTGGATTAGATAAGTATGTGTGTATATTTGCATTTTGTCAAATGAACTTCAACATGTACCAAAGTTAAGAAAAAAAATAGAAAATATAGCATAGAAGCATTCAGCTTATAAGAATGAAAATTAAAAGCATGAAACTTACTTTTAGCAATATGTAATGGGCTACATAATTACTTTTAGTAATAAGTAATGGGCTACATAATATTAAAATAATTTGCAATGCATTTCTGTAATGATTTCAATTATTATAACAAAATAGTTTCCAATGAATTCTATAATAAAATAGCTTTGCATTTCTATAATAAAAAATAATTTACAATGTACGTTGTTAGTGAAATAATTTTCAATGAATTTCTATATCTAGTTTATCTACTGTGTACATAATTAGAAGCAGTGAAAGTGTTGATGCGGTTAATAAATCCTTCCTATTTTATTCAAACAGAATTGCCAAGTCAGACAGAAACAGATGCTCATCCCGAATTCATCCTTTCCAAGACGGATTCTGTAGAAACTAATGATGATACTAAGAGTGAAAAGAAAAGTCTTACATTATCAGGGAAAAAAGTGAGTCTGTCTGCTTTGAGTCTTTACTTTTTTCTTCATTTTTTTTTTTTTTTTTTCATGCTCTTTATCCTCATTCTTTTCTTTTCTTCTTAAAGTCTGTCAGCTGCAGCACTGCATGGTCCCATCATACATCCGCTACTGTTATTTTTCTTAATTCTTTTAAAATATCTTTTTTGACATTTAACCCATGAGCTGCTGCTCAGGCTACTTTCACTTTCACTTTCACAGTATTAATTCAACTCATGTTTTTTTTTTTTTTATTCTTGCCTTTATTTTCTCTCAGTATTTTATTTTTAACTTTTTTCCAAATTAGATCTTTTCCAGCATCTGTAATCATTGTTGGAGCCGTTTGAAACAAGTATAAATACAAAAGAAAAAAAAAAAATTCATGTTTGAAATATAGAGTAATTGGGTGGTTAATGTTATCCAAGAATCATTGCTTGTCTAAAATCATTTTGCTTTCTCCAAGTAGAATCAGATTTTTGGAATTCAGTTCAAGAATCAACCTACCATAATCTAGTTTGGTCAGCCTGTATCTCACTCGGTATCCTATAGATTTTTAGACATTGAGAGGGAAACATCTTTTCATTATTAAAAATTACCATTTACCTGAACTTTGATTACATTCCTAAAAATTTCCATTGTGAAAAAAGTAATATCAAATAAGTTGGAAAACCAAAGCAAAGATGCCAGTTCTAACTGAAATACATATGTGAATAAACATCAATTAACTAGATAACTCAAATTCACTTATAAAACCCAGGAGATCATTTTTGGGGAAAAAGGGGGATCTTACATGTCATCAAATATGGTATTGATTTTTATATTAACGCTCCAAAATTTACTGAATTTTATGGCATATAATGAGCACCATTTATTCTCATAAATTGCCTGAAAGTATATCCCATGTCGTTATTGAATAAATTTAAAGATGAAATTCAAAGTTAATGACAAAAATTCTTTTAAAAATTCTATATCTGTCAAAAGTTTTATTGTCATCTTATATGATATTTATCTTTGAATATTTGTGCCATAAACAAAACCAATTTGAGAAGTAATTAATTTTAAAACCTTTTATACTTATTTTGAATTTTATTCTGTGATGGTTGACATTTAATATCTGGAAAGAGTAAAAGAATTTAGAGGTAGTTTTAAACGGATAAGAATTAAGTGAAACGATATAAAAAGTTTTAAATTATTTGATAAAATATCTCTCATTTAAGTATGATCTTTTGACAAACATATTAACATTAATTGGAAATCATTGTAATTTTTTAAATAATTTGTTTAAACTGTATTTTAAATAATTTTTATATTTTTACAGAAGCTTTTTTCTGAATATTTCTGATAATCAATTTTATTTGTATTCAATTTTAAACATCTGAAAATGAAACATAAAAAATGTTTAGAATACTAAAATATAAAGGAAAACAAGTCAATATTCACAATTTTTACATGTTAATGATTAAGCAATATGTTTTTATCTTGCAAAAAACATTAATGCAAATTAGAATATATTTTAAAGAAATTGGTTGCAATATCTAAGGAAAAAGTAAGAAAAGAGTTTATATAATTTAAAATTATTTTTAAAAATTTAAAATGAGTAACTTGTATATTTTCCCTTAATTTCATATTTAAGAATCATTATTTAGGAATAATCTATCATTAATTTTTTACTAGTATTTCTTTGATTTTATTTTAGTTGCTTTTTATCTCTGACTTAAGCATGTAGCATGAATTGAAAATAAAGAGCTGCTCATGAGATTTGTGTGGCAAAAACTTATTAAAATACTTCATCTGAAAGATTTACACAACTTAAGACTTATGTTTTATGACTAGGTTTGAAAAAGCAACAAAAATAAGATGAAAGAAAAACTAGCCAAAAAATTAAAATACTTCATCTGAAAGATTTACACAACTTAAGACTTATGTTTTATGACTAGGTTTGAAAAAGCAACAAAAATAAGATGAAAGAAAAACTAGCCAAAAAATTAAAATACTTCATCTAAAAAATTTGGTCATTTTATGATGAAATGTTGTTTAAGGACTTTTAAAACCTGAAAGATTCCAATCAAACTCCTCATGCATTTTCATTTAAATTTCCCAATTACATAATTTTGATTTATTATATTTTCACTTGCGTCTTAAATTTTAGTTTTTTAAAATGTTATAAAAATAACTCCTTGTGATTTGTTTCACAAAGTTAAACAATAAAAAACTGAAATCATTTTTCAGAAAATTTCTCAATATGTTCTATTCATAATTTTTTTTGATTTCTTAAATGGCTGTTCTTCATTTAATCCATTAATTTCATTATATACTCAGCTAACAGATGCCTATGTTTGTTAATATAAAATACATGTTTTTCTCTGTACCAGTTTATCACTTCATTTTTCCATCTCTTCTCCTGTGTGTGCATCTCACCTTGTGAGACCAAAAAAAAAAAAGAAAAAATTACCATTGCCTTCATCGTGCCAGCTGTAGTCTGGCATCATTCTTGCTCATGGCTGCTTTTTCATTCCAGGACTCAAGTGTTGGATCTTTCAACCAAAATTCACCGGAGGTTTGCTCCTCCTTAAGTTCTCCTGAGGTACGTCCTGCTGAAACCCTCGTCCCTCAAATGTCTGCTATGCGTGAAAACAACATTTTGATTAAAACAAAACAAAAATACAAAATAAAAAAAAAACAGCTTCTCAAGCATGAAATTTTCCAAGACTTCATACATAATCTATAACATATATTTATAAAATGATTAATCAATTGTCAAGGCCATACCACCTTTCCTTTTTACCCACCTTCTCTATCATCTCTCTCCCTCCATTCACCTCCTTTGTAGTTTTAAAGTTTCAGTGATTTTATATATCTATACATGTACATTTTATCAATAGAACTGAATAACCGCACACACACACACATATAAGAGCTGTCTGTGTGCCATCTGTGGAGTTAGCATTGAAGACAGGACATCCAATGTAGACCTATTTAACAGGTGTAATAGTGGAAGAATCAAGACTTTTCTTGTACAGCCTCAGTTGTGGTGGATTGGTCATGTCTTGAGAATGTCTGATGACAGGATACCCAAGATCCTAATGTACAGCCAGGGCTACAGGAATGTAGGACGCCCATGGCTAAGATACAAAGACAAGCTGAAAAGCAACTTGTCATGTCACCTTTGAGTGTTTAGCCTTGGAGCAGGTAGAGTGGAGATCAGTGTGTTTTAGTGAACTCAGCGGTTTTCAATCTGATACTCTGAATCATCTTCAAGAATCGAGAGCAAGATCTAAAAGGTCAGCCTATCTAACAGTGACCTCATCCCCCAATCTTCACTCTTGCTCCATATGCGGCATCCTTTGCAAATCACTAGCAGGTCTTAATTGCCACTTTATCGCACAAAATTCATAACTGAATTAATTGGTTAAGTTGTCAGATCCTCATATGTTGAAACTGACAGGAGAGTCCATTATTATATAGATAGATATTTCGCCTTGGTGTTTCAATTACTATCAATTCCAAGCTATGGAATAGTGTGGATGTTGGGTGAGTAAGGTGTTGCACAGTTTCAGACCCACCCTCTTGATAGATGCTACAGGAGGGCTGTTGGTAGATCATTTGCAATGAATGGTGAGACCAAACTTTGACACTAGTAACTGTTATGACATGTGCACATCTTTGCTTTGGTGTACTAGTTAACAAGCTAGCCAAACAGTTGATTACTACTCACACTCATTCCTAACTCACTAGTTTCTTTAAATATGTGACCTTGTATCAGATTGAGCTAGGGCTGAATAAATGCTGATCATGGATTCACTGTTGTTCTGTTATCAGAAACTGTGATCATGTTAGTCTGGTAATACACACACACACACACAGCTGCAATACTTAGCTTAACATAGTGTAAAGTTCTTGTGATATCATCTAAGAATCAGATATTTATCATCTATGAACTTTAACAGGTGTCTTTGTTTATTATATATAGAGATTTAGCAGGTGTGTATGTGAGGGTAGGATATTTAATACCTGGGATGAAATACTTGATTAAGTATTTCCAGAGCAAATATCTCCCTAAATAGTTGACAGTTTAATAGCTGTTGCAGACATCAGGGAATGCAGTGGCCCTATTTTTTTTATTGCAGCAGCAAGGTACAGTCAGAGAATGGTTGTCTAGTTCTAAAATGAATTCTTAACAGATTTTCATTGCCTGTTTTGTGGGTCTCATGGTTGTGTAGAGTGTACTGGCACAGTCATTGTTTGTGCCTGGGACAATTTCCCAGGACTGGGTTTTACAATAATTATCTTTATTTAGAAGATTAGTACAATATTGTCTTTCTATTCTTAGTTGTCCCCTGCTTCATTTAGTTAAATTTATGTCAGTAGGCTTTTAATGTAAGAGAGATGTGTGTATATAGTAATGTATTTGTAAAAAAAATTCATGTATAGATTAGTGCTCTGTGATCAGGTGTACATGAAAAGATATATAGATATACAATTACATAGGCTAGTAATCAATATTACAATTCTAGAGCTATCTCATTGAATTGAATAAGCTGTGTATACCTGAAAGTAAGTTGACATTTATGCTTAAAATATAATGTTCTCCAAACTTGAGATTAATATATATACTGGGTTTTATTTAAAACCTTAAGCTAAATTTGGACACTGAGAGAAAAACTGAAGAAACCAAATCTCTTTTTGTTGTCTTTCTGTGAGAAGTTTAGTGAAATCTCTGAGACTTTACATAATGGGTTTAGACCTTTATCTTGTCTATTAGATGAGAAGCTGAAGTATATTTCCGAACTAATAATAATTTCATAATTAACAGGATAATGAATTCTTAGACCTAATCGTAGGGGTAATGGGTGGAAGAAGTCTTAACAATCACTGGAGATTCTGATAGTTCACATAAATCACTGAGTTATGATTTAACAAAACCTGGGTGCAGCTGTTTAAAAGATGAAAAAGATTGCAGTGTTTGGGAAAGAGACAGGTGTGAAGTTTATATCTGTCTATATCTCTGAGATGAGGTATTATGATTATTTATATTATCCTCATCTTTATTGCCATATTCACAATATTTTGGTTGTTGTACGCTCAAGTCTTCTTCAAACCCTTTATTTCAGCCACCGGGATAGATTGTGCCATATCTTTTCTGGATGTCTCAGTTATTTCCCTTTAACTCAACTCTCCAAGTTTTTGGTTCAAGTGGCCTGGTATTGAATTCACAACTCTTTGGGTCTAGTCACTGGATCTAACTGTCTTTATCTGCTGGGTCAGGCCTCCTTGAGGACATCTGTGTATGATTTTCTGGGACTTATAAACCTAATATCTCAGCAACCATTTTTTTTTTTTTTACCAGTGCTCATATTGAAATTTTTTTGTTATTATTTCATTTTTTACCAGAGCTTATATTGTAATTTTTGTTGTTATTCATTACTTTTCTCTAACACTCCTTATCACTGGTTCCCATATTGTATTCATTTCTATACTTGGTCGGCTCAGGATGTTATTGTGGCCTAGCATATATGCTGATTCCTTAAGTTTTTGTATTTTTCCAGTGATGTTCTTTGTCTATGATTTCAACCTCATCTCACAGGAGGTGTTGATTTACCAACTTATGTGGTTAGCTATGCCTGATTTTATAAGTCCCAGAAATTCGTATACAGATGTCCTCAAAGATACATGGCCCAGTGGATAAAGACAGATCCAGTGACTAGAACCAGAGTTGTGAATTCAATACAAGGCCACAGCAGTGGTGAACAAAAAACTTGAAGAGTTAAGTTAAAGGGAAATAACTGAAACATCAGCATGACATGTGGCACTAGAACAATCTACCCTGGTGGATGAAATAAAGGGTTCCGTTTGAAATTCCAATCACCGTACAATGGCCGAAACATTGTGAATATGGCAATGAAGATGAGGATAACAGTTCAAATAATGTAAATAATGCAAGTAATCATAATACCTCATCTCAGAGATATAGAGAGACATAGACATAAAGGCTGGAGCGTACAACGGCCGAAACGTTGTGAATATGGCAATGAAGATGAGGATAACAGTTCGAATAATGTAAATAGTGAAGTTTATAATTTATTTTTATAACTGTAGACAGGATACTAAAGCTTACATGTATGATAAAATCTGATTGAATGAAAACATGGGAGTTTCTTGCCACTTATTCAAACAGGGACAAAAAGGGTATATTTAGAATAGTTCTTAAATTAACCCTGTTATAAAAACACAAGTATTTCTTTTATATGAGAACGTAACATTTGAGTTATATAAAACAACTGTCCTTTATAATCATGGTTGCTTATTGAGCATATGTATAAACAAATATATGTGCAAATGATCTGTTGATCCAAGCAGTGGTAGGGAGAAATGACCTGCTTGTATCTCACCACTGTCCAGATACATTGTGGATTAGGAGCTAGTTATTTTTAGTAAATGTAATAAAACTTGCTTTGGGTCAGCACATTTTTGACCTTAAGTAGTAAACAGATCTGCTTTAGACCTAAGCAAAAATGTTAGGAATTTTTGATAAAACACATTTGTTTTTGGCTAAGAATCTTTTGCAGGCAACAGAAGGTGTTACATAACTTTTTGCTTGTATCAGAGAGACTTATTATAATTGAGAGACATGAAACCTCATGTTATAGACAAGCGTATGGTTGCAAGAAAGAAATACGACAACAGCAGAAATAGATTTACGTGATTTATTTCAATAGAAACGTGTGGGTTTGGGACAGCTACCTTGTGGTATAGTTCATATGCCGGCTGCCGATCTGGGTTGATCTCTTATAGTAGTTCTCACTGGTTGGCGTGGCGCTCCTGCTGCTGACTGCTCAGACTGACTGTGACAGATCTCTTCCATGGCCTCTTGTTGACTGCCCTTGTACTTCCCCGTGTGACCCCTTTTATGGCGTTTTTTTATGGCTTAACAGTCTCGAAAAACGACACAAGTATAATTAGGAGGGAAGCATTTTTATTGGTCAAGAAATAGGAACACTTTAAATATCATTTTATTTTTTGACCAGAACTTGTGTGTCGGGCTTATGCGTAAACAATGATAATGGTCATTTTGTGACGGGGCCTTGTCCTGTTCACATCTCTCGCTCTTGAGTATGTTAGTTTATTTGCCTGCAAATCAGCCGAGATATGTCTTATTTTATTTTATAAAACTCATCATTTTTAAATTGGTCTGTTTGTAGATCTTTATCAAATGTTATATTATTTGCACAAATGATAAATTTTATTTATTCAGGTAAATCACAGCAACTCATAATTTAGTAACTGTTTTTGTTTAAGATCAAGAGTAATTAAAATTACCTTGACTACTTGACTAATTTACATAGTTAATACTAATACCCTTGGTGAATTTTTTTTAATTTTTTTATTTTTTATTTTTTTTTATATATATTATTTTTATTTTTGCTAAGTGTAAAACCAAATTTAAGAAGGAATAATATATATTAATTATGCATTTTGGAACAAAATTTTTAATACTGATTTTGACTTCTTTATAACTTAGATGTCAGTTCTGAACCTGTCCAAGCACCTACTGCAGATATAATTGAATTATTTTTTAAAAAAACA